CACTGTTTATTGATATCATAGTTTTCATTATATGTTGTGTGGGCAAAAGTAATCATTACATTAATAGTGATCTGATTTACTATTCTGCAGCTCCGAATTTAACTCTATCACTGATATACTTATTGTAATGGGTGTAGAAAAATTGTTGTAAATACAATGGCAAAACTATAAATTTTTTACTTTACTCTAAAATTAATTTCATGTACAACAAAAAACAACTAATACCTGGAAACTTCTCTCTATAACGCTTACACAGAAGGGAGTAAAAATTTTAAACAAGACAAGTACACAAAACGAGTAAAAAAGAAGGAAAGAATAATTTTAAAGATTCTGTTTTTAACATGGACTTTGATTTTCATTACATTGAGGAATGTTCGGAGCCAGCTCGGCGCGGCAAACTGGACAAACCGTGTGGTTAGATAGCCACGTGTCAGCACATAATCGGTGAAACCCATGGTTGCAACCGGGAACTAGACGACCCGATTGACCACTCTCTATATCTTCAAGGCAAACGGCACACTCCGTCGACCTAGCTATTATGGCAAGCTCTTTTCCGGTGAGTTTAGGGATTTTCTCGAGCTCTAACACCGAAAGGCCTTTACCGGTGACCGGTTTAACAGGTTCCGCAAATCGAAGACGTTCAATACGACGACGTGTGGAACACCACAAGAGGAAGAGATATATTAGGAAGACGATGCACATGCCAACGCAAGGAAGGAGGAGGGCCATGAAAACGGTAGCTATCATCGGCCCACCGCCGCTAGATTCAACGGCGGTTGTTGGTGGCGGAGATGGTACTAAAACCGGTGAGATGCGTGTGTAGTGCATCTTACACCGTCTCTTGTTCTCTCTCTCTGTCCGGCTTGCTTTTTTTTTGTTGTAAGAAAGCAAAAAGGAAAAAGAAAAAAAAAAGTTATATTCCTCTACTTGTTCTCTAAGTGTTGTTGGTAGTGAAAATCATGTGAAAAAGAGTAACGGCTATTTATACAAAGAGGAGAGAACACGGTAGAGCCAAATATCAGGTTCTAGGTTAAACAATTATTGTTATGATTTTTTTATTTTATTTCGTACAATCAGCTTTTCTTTATTATTATGGGTTTGCTTGTTATATACACCAGGTTCTTTTGCCCCATTGAATTATTATAAAACGTCAATTTTACTTGGCACTGAAAACGATTTGATATATGGCTTCCACTAACATAGATATGGCTTCCACAAATATAATTTGGATATATATATCCAAATTATATTGGTTAGATTTTTTTTATTATAAACTTATAGTATTTACAAAAAAAATAAACTTTAATTATTATTATTTCATTTCTAGATAACAATAACTAATTATTAAATATTAATTAGTAATTTGATCAAACTAAATTTTTGGAATGAGAATTAACATAATGAAAGAAAATCTTTAATCTATCATAAAAGGAGTATGTGAAAAAAGTTTTCAAGACGTTCAACATCGAAAGTAGAACCGGATAATACTCTTTTGTTTTGTCAATCAAAAGATCAATTCTGTGATCGAGCACGAGATAACATATAGGATAAGGTTTTGTATGCTTATGTTATATATTGGCCACCATATGTCTGTGATGACATGCTTAAGATCGGAGAAATTGTAGAGGGGAAGTTATTAGTAAGTTAATAAGCAATTTAGGAAATTGAAAGTTTTTAATTGGAATTTTTAGGAATCTGAAAAATATATATAAGCTCACCATTATTTTCGAGAAGTAAAAGATGAGGAATTTGTTGATGATAAAAACGGTGGTGAATATTTATAGGATTAGTGGATCGGATATGTATACATTTTTAATGGTAGTGTAATTTTTGGCTTCAAAGTTAAATAGATTATAGCTTTGTCGACTAGTTATGAGGCTGAGTATGCATGCTGCCATGAAAGAGGTGAAAAATGAAATGCGGGTAAAATCATCCATACAAAAATATGGGTTCGTACCATAAGGAAATTGTGTCATACTGTGAATGTGATAGCAAGGGTGTTCATTTGGCAAAGATTAATCCCGCAATTTACCCCAACGTTTTAACATGTAGTTCAATCACGATTAAGATCCGTTTAGGAGAAAACTATTCTCAGGAAATTGTTTTTTTTTTGTTTTTTCTGCGAAGTTTGTAAATATCCTTAAAATTGAGTTTAAGGTACTAGAAATAACGCTCACAAAAAAAAAGGTACTAAAAAGAGCATTATCTTTCTTTTTTCGACTGAATAATTTCATTAGCAAAAGAGCTGTTAACGATTTACAACAAGTCCCAAAAAATATAGGATCGAAGACAATCACCATCAGAGAAAACAAAAAACGCATTACAACTAAACAACACACATCTCTTCTGTGAACAAATCCTTTAACCAAAAGGGGTAGCCTGAAGTTACGTATGTTTGTCTTCGATCCTCCAAGGTTACACTCTTTGCGATCAAAAGAGCACCTCGGATTCACACACTCAAGTATTTTTATTAAGTAGGAAAGATTACTCTTGAGGGACAAAAATAGATATGCAAAAAGCGTATTGAATTGCTACGAAAATTGCTATAGTATTTCTTACTCGAGAGAGAAGACCCCCTTTACATGGTCATTGGCCTTTATATTTATACCTAGAAAAACGACATTTAAATGGCTAATTAAGTACAATTATTCTCTCTTAAATGTGTCCGTTTTGATCTTTGATTTTAATGCTCAACGTTCGAATTTGAGTTGATTCTGATCTTCATGGGCCTCGCCTTTTGGCCCAAATGTCCTTGGACCGACTTAACCATGATTTCGTCTCCGGACTCATGTCGAGGTGCAGTCACTTCGGCTTCTCCTTATGGTGGTAACCACTTCGATTGTTCTTTTGACTTGTGGATCTAATGAGCTTTATCCTTTATGGGCCGTTACCCTGACTACGTGGCAATCTTTGGTTGGTCCTGGACCTCTGGTGCGGGATCCTACACCAACAATTAGCCCCCCAAGTTTTTTGAAGTGCCATTCCAATTCGGAGGACTTTAAATGCTTAAATGACCAAAGATTGCGCTCGAGAATCTTTCTGATTTCCCGCCGAAAATCTCATCACTCCTTTAATTTTGGCACTAGCCATTTTTAACCGAGTGACATCTGTCATCATTATGACCGTATATTAATTAATTACTATTAAAACGGGAAAAACCTTCCCACTTCGCACACAATTTCCGAGGCGGTTCCATCATTTAGCTTGTGTAAGGTAACTTCTTTTCATCATCATTTTCTACTTTTACTTTTACATTTGCACTTTATTCGAAACTTCTCTCTTCTTTTCCTTCGCCAAATTTCTCCTCGTCGGATCTCGAACCTTTCATTTTCCCCAATGACTTCTGATTCTGAAAGACCCGAATCTCCGACATTCGACGATAGGCGCTCTAGTAATGACGAGTGCACTCGCCCTAATGATATTGCCGGTCCGCACTATAGATCCACTTGCACTCTTCAATCCCTCGAGCGGTTGAGAGAGCTTTGCCGGATTCCGCCGATAATTATGGCAGAAGTACAAATAGCTGACCCCACAGAATCCCCAGAGAACCATCGCGATGGTTACTTCTGTGTGTACGAGATTTATTTCAAGGGTTGCAGATTAACCTTCCCACTTCCCGAAGCCCTAGTTCGGTACTTGGCGGTTCTCGAGATCGCTCTTCCTCAATTAACCCCCAATCTTCTCCGAACCATACTCGGAATTATAACAGTAGCGGCGGAAGCCGGATACATTATAAGGGTCCCCGAGCTGAATGAGCTTCTAAGCGTGAGAAGTTCATCGAAGAAGACATGGTATTTCTCAGCATACCCTAACGCTAACAGGAACGTCATTTCACATCTTCCAAACAAGGATGAAAATTGGCATCACCCTTGGTTCCTGATTAAGAAAACCCCTGCTTCGATTGGAAGTCTATCAGATTCACTCCCATCGAAGTGGTCCGCGAAACCTGGTAGAAATTAGGTCGCATACATTCCTCCAATTTATTTTATTCTATTGATTAAACTTGTTATTTTCACTTCGCAGCTTTCGTCGCTCCGACTTTACCAACTGAAGAATTCATTGGCTTCTTCAAAATAATCCTCGAAGGGGAAACCCTTTGGAATTTTTTCACTCTCGAACGGTTCATAGAAGCCAATCGAAAACTCAGGATGAGCCCTCCCAATCAACTTCATCGTCTTCCGCCTCCTCCCTCAACCCAGGGAATGTCAGTTCGGGCTCTCACTGCCCAGCGAAAAATGATTTCCAAGCCGATGGCTGAGGCTTGTGATGAGAACAAGGCGTTCCTTGCGACCGCCATTGATAAAAAAGATTATAGCAAAACCTTATTGGTTGACGACGGTAGCACCAAAGGAGCCAGATCCGTCGCCGTTTTCAGATTGACACCTCGACGTGAACGTCACGATGACCGTCCTCCCCGGAGGCCCCAATCTCCTAACCGTGACTCTCCTCGTTCTTCCCGAGATGACTTTAGCAACGAACCGCTTAAGGATTTAATTCGCAAAAAGAGGGACAAGTCATCCCGCAGTGGTTCTTCTCCGCGAAGAGAGAAGTCAAGGGCCCGGACTGACTGTTCTCCTCGATCGTCCCCTCCTACTGAACCAATTGGTCCTCCTCGTCCTGTCGATATGTCTTCTTCTTCTCAACGTAGTGGCGAGAAGACGAACCTGGGTGCAGCTTCTCAGAAGGAAAGTTCTGAGTCTCGAGATGACTCTCCGAAGACAAAGCCTGTTCTTGTTCCTCAGATCAAATCGCTCTCAGGTATGATGATATACATGTATTCTTTTCTTTTCGTCTTGTACTTATTTTGAATTTCTAAGACCTTTCCTCTTTTGCTTTCGTATCCATGGAAAAAGAGGGTAACGTTTTTCGGTGCTTCAAAACTCGATCAGGTGCGATCCTGCCAGAGTTCAACAAGTGGCGCTCTGCAATTTGTGAACGATACCTACTTCATGCTCATCATTCATCTCGGGTTAGTTCCGCTTCATTTTTCTGACTTCACTGTCATTCTTCGAACTGATCAGTCATTCCGGGTTTATGTGTAATATCAGGCTAACGGCGAGCTTAATGACATAATTGAACATTACGAAGGGTTGGTCATTGGTCGGGAGAAGGAGATTGACACGTGGAAGAGCAAGTTTTCTAATCTCGAGGCTGACCTCCGTTCTTCTACCGACTCCAAGCATGATCTGGAGGACAAGGTTGGTGGTCTATCATCCGAGCTTGCGAAGATAAAGGGGGAGCTGCAGGACCAGTACGACCGGAATTACAAGCTCCAAGATGAACTTTCTGGTGTTCAGGGTAGACTTCATGAGTCTGAATCATCCGCCGATACCCTGAACAACCAACTTACCGAGCTTCACGCGAAGTACCAGGCGATCGCCAAGTTGCGTGATTCCGAGTTAGCAAGGTCAGCATCGAAGGCCAGAAAAGAGGTCAAGGGACGCGGGATATAATTGATCCAAGGGGCTATCCGCTTCATCCAAACTGAGAAATCTAGGTCAGATCTAGAATCTGACATCAAAGAGCACGAGAGCAACCTGATCCTGTTAGATCAGATCCATGACAAAGATTTCTCCGAAGCGCAAGAAAGATCCGAATTGACCGCTAATTTATTTGAAAAACGGAGTCGCTTGGCAGCTCTTCCTGCTTCAACCTTCAACCCACAGCACTTCGAGGAATTCTTTACTAAATCACCTCCCCCAAGTGAATCGGGTCTAGACTGGGCAGGTAATCTCCAGCTCTTGATACTTACTATCTTTTTCTTGCCCTATCATATATATATTTTTTTGTTGACTGAAACTATCCTTCCTAGGCTCAAGTGAGGCGGAAGATGCCGCCCCTCCCGAAGTTTCAGCCGCACCGGAGGTCACCCCGACGGATGGTTGTACCGTGGAAAGCGGACCAGGAGCTTCGCTTGACTAAGCACCAGCCAAGGAGGTGAATGAAACTTTGACAGCCGAGACGGAGTCCGAGGTGGCCGTTAATCCGTAGTGGATGTGTCCACTTTAAATTGGGGATTGTCTCATTTATTTCAAAACTTAATTTTGAACTTGTTTTTGCCTAAGGAGGCTTTATAATTACCTTTTTTTTTCTTAAACAAAATATTCGCCTAAGAGGCTTTGAAACCTTTCTAGGTTATGATCCCAAGAGAGTTTGGTTCAAATTATGCACGGCTTGGCAAAGTCCGCTTTTAACCTGTTGAGGCCTTGTGGTTACGTTTTAGAGATTTCTAGACTGATCAGACCTTTCTCTCTAGAATGCGAGTACTGAGCTCGACTTAAAACGAGTTCCCCACTTCGGGTTAGTCAACTCGGTAAATTTATTGGGCTTGGGCCTTAGAAACGTTTGTAGTTAATGCGACGGTTGCTCTTTCCCTTCTTATTTCTTGAAAGTAGGAAAAGCGGCTCGTCTTTAATGCAATAACTGCCTTTTCTCGATTTCCAAAAATGGTTTAAGTTGCTTGGGCACGCCATTATTAATGATTTTTCGCTTCCAAGACAAACCCTATTCCTATTATAAATAGGAGATTGTTTGCCTTTAATCGTTTCTCAAGAAACTTCATAATTCATTCAACAAGCACCACATCAATGGAAAACAAAAACGTAGTCCCCGTTGATCCCGGCAGCCCGCTTTTTCTGTCTGGTGATGGTTTTGAGCCGGCAGGTGTCCTCTTCCCGCACGCCGTGTTTCACTTCCCTTCAAAGAAAAAGAAAGAGGCTTGCGATTTCCTGGATAAGGTTTAGTACTTATCTTCTTTGATCAAAACTTTCCGCTTTCTCCTTTTTACCTACTTATCTTTATTCTAGGTTGTCGACAAGCACCGTCGTTTGTGCGACGAGAGGCAGCGGCTAGGTCTCAAAAGGCAAACACTAGAAGCTCGCATCGCCCGTGTGGAGAGGAAGATAAGAGCTCTGGAAAGTGATCCCTTTCAATGGGAATGGCGGAATTTTGATTCTGTTGCTGAGATCCCGAAGATGCTCCAGATGTATCTCCGTGCTAAGGGAGTTCCGGGGCTCGTGAATGCCCCGGTCTATACCGCTCCATCTGATGGCGAAGAAGAAGGCGAGGAGGATACCAGCACCTGTCGGAAACGCGTTCGGGATCGTTCCGAAGTGGATGCCAAGAACAAGGCGTCCACTTCGAAAATCAAACCGGCGATGAAGGAGCCTGTTCCTGAGCCTCTTCCTTAAATGTTCCCTAACTCTGCTCCTATTTTGAACTCGTAATGGGCTTCGGCCCTCTTTTTTTTATTTATGGAAACATTTGCAATTTTCCTTATTCTTAAAAATATTCTCGGAGATACGCCTTTTAATGCAGGATTGGTTTAAGAGCATAAATCTCTCCGCGAATCACTCCAAGGGATATGACGTTCTTATAAATTTTAGTCTCGATTTCCCTTACTCCTCACCACTCTTTTTCATTTTAGCAGGTATGGAGTTCAACTTTCGATGTTCAGAATCTATGCCCGACTTCTCCAGGATCGAAATGATAAACGAAGATGTTCCAAATGAGCCAAACAGGCAGCCTCTTCCACCTTGCGGCTTCTTCAGATCTCCAATCCGAGCTCCGTGCGCTTTGATCAGGGATCTCCCAATCAGAGACCAAGGAACAGCGATGGCATTCATAGAGGCACTTGCGCTTCAACATCGGAAGCTTACATTGGAAAAGAGGAGACTCTGGAAGAGGATTATCCGGATGCAACGCAGGCTTACTACGGTATCGAGAGACTTCACATCCTTGGCTCTCACCCCGGAGAATGGATCGAGCTTGGAATCTCTGACTTCGTTCGAATTCCGGACTGCATGATGCCAATCCTCGATCTTGCTGGTCAAGGAGTTGAAGTGTTCTGCTCGTCAACAAGATTTCCCTAATCCGAAGTGTACGATGAGGGACATTCCGTCTTATTTGTTTGAATAAACGCTCTATTTCCAATATCTTGTATGTTCGCATAGCCGAACCTTTATCTGCTTCACTTGTTCGCTCAGTCGAACCTTTTCCTTTAATAAATAAATAAAACAAATTTTTATTAATAGTTGAACTCGTTTCCGAGCTGCCTACGTACCCGTTTCGGGATCAAGCCACACCGTAGTTCATGTACATAAAAAATGCATGTAGCTTTAAACATAAAACTTCTTTAGGTTGATCACATTCCAAGGTCGTTTGACTGGCCTGGCTTCTAAGTCTTTCAATCTATAAACACCGTTCCGAACCACTTCGGTAACAATGTAAGGTCCTTCCCAATTAATACCGAGTTTACCGGCACCTTCTTCTTTTTTATTGTCAAAGACGCGCCTTAACACATAATCTCCCACGAAGAAAGGCCTACTTTTGACTTTAGAGTTGTAATATCGGGCTGCTGCCTGTTGGTAGTTCTGAATCCGAATCAAAGCTTGATCACGCCTTTCATTTATGGTATCTAGTGAATCATTAAGCATTGCTGAATTTTCTTCCTCATTTAATGGTGCTTCTGTTCGGCGAAGTTCGGGCACGTTGAGTTCAGCTGGTACTACTGCCTCCATGCCATAAACCAAAGAGAATGGAGTTTCATTATCAGTGAAATGAATTGTGGTCCATTATCAGTGACTATTTCGTACGGAACTCCATGTCGACATATAATGTTTTTCCAAATAAAGGTCTTCACCGCTGAATCCTTGATACCAACATACGCCTCAGCTTCAATCCATTTCGAAAAGTAGTCCGTAAGGACTAAAAGGTATTGTACACCTCGAGTTGACTTGTGCAATGGTCCAATGATGTCCATTGACCACCTCATAAACGGGTATGGGGCGAAAATGGAGGAGAATAATTCCGACGGTTGATGGATCAATGGTGCATGGAGTTGGCAGCGCTTGCATCTTTGGGCGAACTTAACACAATATGTGATCATAGTGGGCCAATAATATCCCATTCTTTTAACTTTAAAAGCCATAGCCCTTCCTGATGAATGACTCCCACATAATCCTTCGTGCACTTCGCTCATAACGATTTCGACTTCGGGCCCAAAAATGCATAATAGGTAAGGGTCACTGACACCTCGTCTATATAATGCATCCTTTGATAGACAAAATTTTGCGCTAACGATTTTCATTTTCCTGGCCTGCCACTTATTCTTTGGGAGCTCGCCTGTCATGATGTAGTGCTTTATTGGCTCCCTCCAGTCAGCCCCCAGTCTTTATCCGGAATTTGGTCAACCTTGTGAAATACTCGTGGCTCTGGTTCGGGATGTTCGTTTGGTTCAAGAACATCCTCCTCGATTAATGGCTCGGTTTCTAATATTGTTTCTGGAATCACATCTTCTGCTAAGACAACAAGTTCCTTATTAGATGTGTTTGATCCCTTTGATTTCCTCCGTTTGATGGGTGGCAGTTCGACCTCCGGTTCGTCACGGTCACGTGCCGCTGCTCGAGATCTTGTAACGACGAGTCTTGAATGCTTCGTTCCGAAATGCATTCTACTGGGATAACTCTTTTCAAGTCAGGATCTGATGTTGATGCTAATGCGGCAAGTGCGTCCGCGGTTGTATTCTCTCCCCGGGGTATGCGAATTAATTCGAATTTCGAGAAATTTTTAGATAGATCCTTCACCACTTCGAGGTATGCTTCCATTCTTGATTCCTTGGCCTCGTAGTCTCCATTAAACTGGTTAACTACTAATTGCGAATCACAATAAGCGACTATTTCCTTAGCTCCAACTCCTTGTGCCAATCGAAGTCCGGCAATTAGGGCTTCGTATTCTGCCTCGTTGTTGGAAGCATTAAATAATAATCGGAATGATTGTTCTAAAATTTCCGATGTTTGAGATTCCAACTTGATTCCCACTCCGGATCCTTGCTTTGATGAAGACCCATCTACATGCAATTTCCAAGTTTGGTTCTCTAGTTGTTCTAGCGTGCCAGGTATTGGTAGTTCGGTCAGGAAATCTGCTAAAACCTGAGCCTTCATACTGATTCGGCTTTTGAATTCTATATCGTACTCGCTCAATTCTACCGCCCATTTCGCCAGACGTCCGGACTGACTTGGACTATGAAGTATTGTTCGGAGTGGCTGGTTGGTTAATACTTCGATCGGATGGGATTGAAAATATGGGCGCAGCTTCCGAGCTGAAGTCACTACTGCGAGTGCGAGTTTTTCCATCATTGTATATCTGGTTTCCGGATCCGTCATTGACTTACTTATATAGTTAATCGGCTTCTACTCTCCGCGGTCTTCCCGGACCAGGACTCCACTAACCGCGTGGTTTGAAACTGACACGTACAGATAAAGCTTTTCGTCCACTTCCGGTTTGGATAATATAGGTGGGGTAGTTAAATATGCCTTAAGCTGCCCGAAAGCTTCTTCACACTTTTCATCCCAAAGGAATCCTTTGTTTCCTTTTAGAATTTGGTAAAAAGGCAACGACTTATCTGTTGATCTCGAGATAAAACGATTTAAAGCCGCGATCCGCCCAGTCAAACGCTGTACCTCCTTGAAGTTTCTCGGAGACTGCATGTTTAGAAAGGCGTTGATTTGGTTTGGATTGGCCTCAATCCCTCTCTCTGTCACAATATAGCCGAGAAATTCTCCGGATGGTTAATGATTTAACCAACATGTCATCTATGTAGACTTCCATTGTCTTCCGGAGATGATTGTGGAACATTTTGTTAACCAACCGTTGATAAGTTGCTCCTGGATTTTTTAAACCAAAAGGCATCACTTTGTAACAATAGATACCTCTATCCGTGATAAATGACGTTTTTTCTTGGTCCTCGGGGTTCATCATTATTTGATTATAACCCGAGAAAGCATCCATGAAGGTCAGCAGTTCATTCCCAGCGGTGGACTCTACGAGTCGATCTATATGCGGGAGCGGGAAACTATCTTTAGGACATGCTTTATTGAGGTCCGTGAAGTCGATGCAAACTCTATCTTTTCCATTCTTCTTTTTAACCACGACGGTGTTTGCTACCCACTCCGGGTATTGTACTTCCCTTATGGACCCTATCTTTAAAAGTTTGTCCACTTCGTTGTTTACTATTTTTGCTCGTTCTACTCCGAGCTTTCTTCTTTTTTGCTTTATAGGCTTGAAACTTGGATCCACGTTCAGTTCATGACAAATTATGCTTGGATCTATGCCAGGCATATCCGCCGCCGACCATGCAAATGATGTTTCGTTTTTCCTTAAAAGCTCGATCAAAGCTTCTTTTATTTGCCCAGTCAAAGTAGCTCCAATTCGAATTTTCCGATCCGGTTTGTCTTCTTTCAACACTACTTCGATTACTACATCATCTCTTTTCTGCCCGCTAGGAATTTTTTGTCTTAGTCCCTCTTTTTCGGGCTTCGTTAATTGCTATTGAATCTTCAAACGGTGGCTAGCTAGATAACATGTTCTCGAAGCTTCTTGATCCCCCCGAATTGTTTCCACTCCATTTGGTGCTGGAAATTTGATACATTGATGATACGTAGAGGGGACTGCCTTCATTTGATAAATCCAAGGAGTCCCGAGGATGATGTTGTAAGCCGCGGGCTTATCAAAAACAACAAAATCCACGATCTTTGACACCCGTTTGGCAAGGACTGGTAGCTTGATTATTCTGAGGGACATGGCTGATTCACTTGTGAATGCTACTAACGGAGATGGAGGCCCTATTATGTCTGCCCGACTAATTCCCATTCTTTCTAAAATACTTAAAAAGATTAGATCGACCGAACTGCCCGTATCGATTAGAATCCTTGATACTTCGAAGTTGGCAACATCCAGGGTAATGACTAATGCATCATCATGAGGTCTCTCGAGATGCCGCGTTTCTTCTTTGTCAAATGATATTGATGCACCTTGAAAATCGACTTCTTCACTCAAACTTGCTTTGAGTAAAACATTTCGCCTATGTTTCTTGATGGAACTTATCGAATCTCGGCAAAATTTAGAACCTCCTAGAATCACATTGATCTTACCCTTCGAACTCCTTGGATCTTCCTCATTGGATAACTTTGGTCTTTTAGAATTTTGATCTTTGGAGTTATCCTTTGACTTGTGGCATTCCTTTACAAAATATTTTATATCGAATTGGGAAAGATCTCCACTGGCCCAAAGCTCTGCGAGATGCCTCTTAAGGACACTACAATCCTTGGTTAAATGTCCGGTTACGTTATGAATATCGCAATATAAACTTTCATCACGGACCCAAGTGTTTGACCTTCCTTTCCCTTGGAATTGCTTTCCGACGGTACTGTTAAAGGGTTGCGACCCAAATTTTCTTGGTCCTTTGCTCTCCCTAGATTCGAACTTCTTG